CAGAAATCTGTAAATTTTTGTGAAAGGAGACCTTTTTCAAAAATCTTTTGCTAAAAAAAAAGAAAAAAAGAAAAAAAAATATATACATATATATATATGTGTGTATACTCGTCACACATTTTCGTCCTGATCAAAAACCAACCAGACAAACCGAGATAAACTCTTGATTTCGAATTTAATCAACAAGTTATTTTTCCTCATGATATACTTTTTTCTTTCTCTTCTTTTTTTCTTTTTTTTTTTTTTCTTTTATTTTTGTTCCTTTTTTTCTGTAACTCCCCAATAATTTCGAATTTTCTTTCAGCCTTTTTTCTTTCTTTTTTCTCCTTAAAATATTTCGAAATTTATCACAAATCGATAGATACCGTGTCTTTTTTTTTTGCTTCCTTCCTTTTCTTTTTTTTTTTTTTTTTTGTTAATTCATCAATAAGCTTATTTCGTCAAAATGTGATTTTTCGAAAATTCTTTGTTTACAAAGAAAAGAAAAGGAAAGAAAAAGAAAAAAAAAACAAAGGGAATAGAAAAGAAAACGTCGCGAACTTTTCTCATACTAATTAAAAATCTTCCACACAAAAACACCGAGATAAGCCCTTGGTTTCGCATTCTAATTACAAATTCTGTTTTTTTTTCCTCTCGTGATATGTATATATATATATACATATATATATCAAAACTTTCTTCCTTTTCATTTAAACTCTTCGATACTTTTGAATCTTAGATAGAGCAAAAGAAATGTTGAGAAAAAAAATCATTATTGTTATCCGAGAAAAGTCGAATTTTTAAATGTACGAAAAGAAAAAAAAAAGGGGGAGGAAAAAGAAAGAGAAGAGGAGAAAAAAAATTTCAGAAGTTATCACAAATAAATATATATATATTTTTTTTTTCTAAATTCTATTTCTATATTTCGTATATAATAATTTCGAATGGTCGAAGAGCAAACGAAAAAAAAAGAAATTAGAAAAAAATTGCTATTACGAAAACCTCGAGAGAAAACTCGCGAAATTCCAATTGTCTTTTTTTTCTTCGCTTTCGATAAAAAAAAAAAAAAAAAAAGAAAAAAAAAAAGAAAAAAAAATGGAGAAAAGGAAGAAAATATAGAGAAAAAGAAAAGAAGAAAAAAAAAAGAAAGAAAAAAAGAAAGAAAGAAAAAGAACTTCGAGTATTATCGCAGATATAGTTAGATATCGTGTTATTTTATTTTCCTGTTTGGTTTTTTTTTTTCTTTTTTTTGTTTTTTTTTTTTTGCTTTTATTGCATCGAAAAGCAATAGAGCTCGAAAAGAATGGTCATAGAGTAGGCGGTTAATATCATTTGCGTATCGATGTCCCTGACGAAGTAGCTTGTAGGACGGACGGAAGAGGGGAAGGGGACTAGGCCAGGAAGTATCAACGGAGTTGCGCCGTGAAACGACCGCGATGCTTCCTTCCCTCCGACCCTCCTCTATTCCCTCTCTATACACATATTACTCGTACACATATATATATACATATATATATATATATATATATATATATATATATAAACGTACATATACACATGTCTCTCTTTCTCTCTCTCTCTCTCTCTCTCTCTATCTCTCTCTCTCTCTCTCTCTCTCTCTCTCTCTTTCTCTCTCTGTCTCATTTTAAAATGTACCCATTAGGAACGTTGAAATTGGTGAATGACTTTTTCCATTATCGATCGATCGATCGATCAATCTTCAAAAAAAAAGATCTTTTAAGACACCCTCAAAACTAATTTAATTTCGAATTAGCTAGACGATAAATATTTATTCAAAAGAATTCTTTTTTTTTTCTTTCTTCTTTTTTCTTTTTTTTTTTCTCTCTCTCTCTCTCTCTCTCTCTCTTCATCCTATAATATCTTTCATACAAATGGATATATTAAGTTCGTCATGAAGATCGTGTCAATATGGATGATAAAAAAATTCTCTTTTCTTCTTCTTTCTCTCTCTTTCTCTCTCTCTCTCTCTCTTCTCTTTTTCCATCTCTAGCCTGTATTCTTTTTCACGTTTTCCAGATATTCAAAACCAAGCCCCTACCTCGATCTTAAAATAGCACTTTAAGATCGTTTAGAGTTAAATAGAAGGAAACGATATCGAGAACCCCGAAAGTCGACCGACATTACCTTAGAAACTGTTCTCTATTCAATGCGTCATTTGTTTAACCTCGACACACGCAGAGACATAGATTAGAGATTAGAAGGGAGTAAGTAGAAGCTAAGGGGTGCGGTGGGGTAAGGTAACGTAGAGTGTAAGGGGAGGAACCCGTGTCGAAGCACGTGTAATCTCGACTGCAATTATCGAACGGCCTAGCATAGCGTTTGTTACGCTCGATCGCTTCGATTACGCGATCGTTCGATCATTTACTTTGTCATGATGAGTGAGATAAAGGTAGACTGGCAGATGGAGAGAAAGAGAGAGAGAGAGAGAGAGAGAGAGAGAGAGAGAGAGAGAGAGATAACAATAGGCTTGTTTCTCTCCTCTCATTAAAGTTTCATTCTA